ATTTTTTAGAGCCTCTTAGAGGTATGAATTTTTTTTAGTGTAAGCATATATATATATATTTATACACACTTTGAAATATGGCATTTATAATTTGTCTAAATTTGCCCCTTATTGAAATAAATATATTTTCCTAGATGAAAGTAGCAACGTAAAAAATTACTGTTTATTTGAAGTTTTGAAAAATAATGTTTTTGCTTCAACATCAAGTACTTATGAATCACGAAACGCAATGATTACTTACACAACTCATAGGCTGAGAGAAAAATGGGAGTTTAGAAGTTAATGAGAAATTTGATAAATGTATTAAAAAAAAAAGTTGAAGGATTTAGTAGTAAATTAAAGAAGAAATGGTTAGATTCAAATCACTGTTTCACTAAATTTTTAAAAAAAAATATTATGTGGTTGGATTTAGAATTTAAAATTCCTTTATTGAAGAAATATGAAGAATCATATGAACCTTCTACAAGTTCTGGTAGGCTACGTAAATCTTTTTTAGAGTCAAATGATCGTTCTAAGCGCAGGCAAATAAAAAAACCTGAGAGAAATAACTTCATCAAATAAATTAATCTGTGCAGTAAAATCGACATTGTATATTAAAAAAAAAACATGCTGCATCCGATCTTGTTTCACATGCAACCGAGAATTCTCCCCAATGTGCAATAAAAATTAAAAAATTGTATAAAAATGAAGCGAAAAATAAATATAGTTCATACACAGATGATGAGGCTGTAGCATTTATCATTGATACTCGCATGAATAAAAATTCTTATCACAAAACTAGATTAGGTACTAAAAAACATGAGGCTGATATATACCCTTCGTATAATAGAGTTCAGTTAGCTAAAGATAGATGTTACCCTGAAAATACTATTATAAGCAAAATAATTCCACTTCAGAGGCAAAGGAAAGGCAAAGTAAGATGCCCAAGAGGCAAGTAATAAAAACTATAATCGATTTAGAGTACATCATTCTCAAAAATCATAACGTATTTATACAAACACACAGCTTTTTAATTTCTTATTATTGTCATTTGATCTATAAATTACAAGTTTAAGAACACAACCTAATAAATCAAAAACTAAATTACCTCCAGAAGTCATTAATTTACTCAATATTGAAAGCTCAGAACTGAAAGAAATAGAAACTAGTAATAGTGAAATAAGTAGTAGTTATTCTGAATAATTATTAATGTCTTTTATTTTTATTAATTTTTTTGTTATCCAATTAAGTATCAGATAAATTAAATATTTGAAAATAATGCATTTTTTTAAATTTCTTACATAAATGTTTATTGTTAAAAAATAAAATTATTTTGTTTGTAATATTATTCAACTTCATAATTTAAATGTATACTTGCTTCAACTGTGTTTTCTTAACAGTTATCTATATCGAGATAAGTATTGAGGTAAGTTATTAAAATTAAAGTAAGAAAATGTTTGAGCATATTAAATCAATAAAAAAAAAATATTTATTTGTGAGTGTCGAACTTTGTTTGATAAGTGCTAAATGTTTGGCCAGCTAGAAATGCAATTCCTACCATTGTGCAGCGATAATATTGAAGATTCCTCAATATAAAA